ATCAGTGTACTTCGTTCAGTTACATATTACTGGAAGTTACGTATTATGTATGTTGTGTCTAATTTCTGCTCAGATTTACGCTTTTAATCCACTGTTGAGACTACATTTTATCTAGCTAAGCTCATATGTTTATACGCAGAATTCAGATTGACGGCCCAGGAGAAGAGAAATCATGCAGGTAATTTACTTTTTCTCTTCGCACTTGAAAAGTTTCAATGTTTGTTCGAACTGACTAGTGTGTCTTTCACTTGTGTAACCTTTGTTTATGCGAGTTTTTGTATCGCATTTGCTGAATGAAAATGATGTAAACATCTTCGAGACAATCGAAACTCGGCATTTCAATACTTCAAACTATATCAGATCAGTACGTTGGAGAATCTAATAAATGAGCTATTATACTATTTCTGTCTATTTCTTTTAGTATTTGACATAAGTATTCATGGGCGAAAAAAATAAAACCTGTGTAACCAAAACTTTGTTCACCAATTTCACCTGACGTAATTGCTTCCTTCAAATATGGAAGAATTTGTTCATTGATCTAAAGATAAGATCACATGCAAAACTGACTTGAATATTTGTGAACTGTGATGAAAAAACAAGAAAATCTTTGCGTGTTGTTTCGTCCGCCCTTTTCTCTCGTAGTCTACTGTCTGTAGTGCAATCTTAACGTTCTATATTTGCACGACTCAACCCAGTGCTACAAACAAAAGACAACGCTCGTCCAGCCGTAGTTCGTAGTCTCCGTATTTAAACCAGGGAGCTTTTAGTAACGACGACGGCGACGGCAAATAGGACGTCAAAAAGCAATAGCTTTATTACGCAAAAACAACAACTTTGCACGTGCATCACGCTTTTTGTACATTTCTTTACCGTCCTTGCACGACTACGACGTGAAAATGCCTAATTGCAAGTTTTATGGAGGACGTGAACAAGCGACGACGAATCTCTTTTTCTCTCTAAATCCTGAGTGCGGTCAACCCAGGGAAATTCGCCTAAACTTGCCATTTTCAGCAAATTGGAGTAAACGCGACAAAGATTGAAAAAATGGAATTCATTTTAAAACTGACGTTTTCCTGCAGTTGCCGTCGTCGATGCTAAAGCTCCCTATTTCCTAGCGACGGAGAGCGACGAGAGGCGGCTGTATTTGCAATGGAACAGTATACACCCTATTCTTTCCCCTTCTGGAAATAAACAGAACTGCCGAATGATAATTCGAGCTTACTCTAGAAACCTTCTAGTGGACTAACATTTAACATTTACATTCAAACATCAAGGATTAGCTTTCACCATTCATATAAAATACAAAACTGCATTGTGTGAAAACCTGCCTTTAGTAATTTGTTGTCATGGTGATCTGTATCAGTGCCGCCTCCGATACTCTCCGGTTCCGCCACCTTGATAAAACTGAAAAGAAGCTGTTCTTTTCCACTTAACCTAGGAACTAAAATAATAAAAAAATGAATAACTAAAAAAATAAATACGTTTGTACACTGTACACATTGGACCGACAATAGATGTTTCAGTAACTTGCAATGTGGTGGTAAAAATGAACAAATGAATGAACAAAATATATTGCTTCGATATCACAAATAAAGGGTTCTGAAAACCTCTTGTTGCATAAATGCGTTCTGAAGTATAATTGATATGAACATAATATTCATTGTCATGCAGTTTAAACTCATTTTCACGAGAAAACAATGTCACTTAGCCTCGTTTTGAAAATGAGAGTTTTTGGAACTCAGAAAAAGCAAACTAAAAAGTAATCCAAGTTGATATTTTTAACTACTAGGCAGAACGTAAGGAGGTATGTGGGGAGACATTTCATGTTGATATCAAGTTGATAAAATGCCACATGAATATTCCTAGTGCACGAACGTAGTACTCACCTTCAGACAAGACAGTGGCTTTGCTGCGTTTGCTATCTTCAATTGCAAGTCGAGGGGGGCCATGACCGTTCATAAGGTGCGCTGACCTCCCGGGTGAGTTAGAAGTCACCTGATTATTGTTTCTCTTTGCAAACAGTATAAACAGAAGAAGAATTAAGACTATTTCAATGCAAAGACCGATAACATGGCGCTCCATCACTTCCTTATTGAGTGGATCCATACGGGCTTTCATATCACCAACTGCGTTGGTAAGGTTATCCAGCTTTGATTGCAGTATAGTGATCTGTTCCTTTTTGGTTGTTGATCTGTAGAAGGAAATGTAAAGTGTACATTTAAAAAGAAGTAACATTGGTTCGATTAATATGTGCATGTAAACAAAACACTTACCGAAATCGTCTACACTGTAGAACGTATACCAAACGCCGCGCTTGATGGAACGTGGCGAACGCCCACAAACGTAAATGGTTGCGTTAAAGGTTCCACCATCGTTAGACCAGTGTTGACGTTATCTTCAAGTGACGGGCCAATAGAGAGCATCTGGGTGGGAGTAAGTTTGAAACTGTCTTTCACAGCAGTTAAAGGAGCTGTGTCAGGAAATTGAGCCAAATTAGGAAATTACAAAATGCCCGTTAAATTAAGAGAAACATAAAATAACCGCTTAAAACATTAAAGGAAGGTTAAAATAACACAATTTGAAACAACAAATGCCACGGATGGGCAAAACTGAAGAAGATTGAAACGGATTGAAATTAGGGTTTTGAAAACTGTTCAGCCTAACAATTTTCAAAGTTGATCCCTGCTGCTTGCAACTTCAAAAAATAATACTCGGGAGACATTTGTTTGTCTCGGATCTCTGATTTTGTCATTTACATGTAATTTCTTTGCCTACTTTAAGTTCCATAGCGATTGAGGGTGAGTAATTGGCAAAATTAATCAAATGAACTGGACCGCCGTGACACAGCCCCTTTAATTCATCCAACTCGAGCTTGTCCATAGCTTTAATTCGTTGAGCACTTAAGATCGTTGACAAGGAGCACGCTCAGTCGGAATCGGTGGTGTGTTGCAAAAGTAGGCATTCACGCCAAGTTATTTTTATTGTACTAATCTGGTCCAATCTCAAACGGATAATTTTTAAGAGGACGATAAACAAAATTCCTGTGAACGTTCATTTTCGCGAATTGAGGGGTAGAAAATGCACGGAAGAGTTACCACCAACTAATAAGAACCTACATTATTTGAGGCCTGGCAAACAAGGTTCTTTTATTTTGGGGCAATCATTGGTAATTTAGGCTAAGAACGTTCTTCATTAGGTTCTTCATTTCAATAGAGATGTAGTTGTTGACTGCTAGAAAAATAAAGAAACTTGAGAGTTTGCTCCTTAAATATACAGTGTTTATCAGTCCTCCTTTCGACGCTCGAACAGAAGAAATGGAACGGAACTCTCAAAATATATTTGGACTTTACAAGACTCTAAGAAATCTTTCCAGATATAAAAGTTTTAAAGAAATGTAAAGCCTATAGCAACATTGGCAAAAAATGTAATCTATGTCTTTATGAAAAGTTTATCATCATTTGTAAAAAAGAGCTTTGTAGCCTAAACAGGCGAAACGAACTAGCGAGTTCATGCCCCCACAGAAACAGATATGTACTTCAGAACCCTAGAGTAACGTAACTAAGACACAATCCATCTGTTATCTAGATACTATCTCTTAACGCATCCCTATATTTTACCGCCAGCTTTTAATTTTAACGGTCAATCGTTGAAGTTGCCTGATGAGTGTGGTCCTACAATTTCGGACCATACGAAACAGCACTGTCGCAATAAACGATCATCGATTACTCCTGAAGCCTGAACTCCTGTGATTATTAATAGTTTATTCACAACCGTACATTGCAGCTCCTCATGTAAGGTTCATGAAGACAATTACAACTGTACTTTTTATAAACATTTTTTTCGTTGTATCTTCTTGAAATATCACTTGGCAATCTCGAAGTCAAACTCCTTGGTAAAAATGTTTATCTTTACAGTATTTACCTGTAAGACACATACAAGAACCTGCTTGATTTTGCTTGGCTAAACAGGTTCTTACATTTTGGGTATTAAATGCCAAATTTCTGCCAGCAGGTCCTTAATCCACAGGTTCTCACAAATGTATTTGCGGGTGTTTATCGTATTTTGTGAAGGTTCAACTTCCTCAGATCAATGTTAAGCTGAGAACATGTTGTGTAGGCAACACTCGCTTCGACAAAGGTTAGAATTACTGATTGCTTCGTAATTCTCACCACTTTTTCCCCAACACTAAAATTATAAAGATTATACATACAATAGCCTCTGCCTTCTTGGTAGCATTGGTCAACAGGGCAACTTTCTTATCTGAGTTCTTCTGTAATTCTTCCACTGACTTTCGGTATCTGTGACCGGAAATAAGGCAACCCTATTAGCATCATAAAGCATCAACTTTGTTTCTCTTGATAAGATCAAAACCAGACAAACACAACGTGCATTCTAACAAGAAAAGACACAAGGCACAAGCTCGGTTCTGAAGATTTAAACCTGTTTAACTCCCCCCCACCCCCAGAAAAAAAAAGAGGGTGGGTGGGGGGAGGAGAATCTTCGCAATGACCTTAAACATAAGCCTGAATTTCAGACAACTATTTTGAGTCGTTTTTACTCCCTCAGTAACGTCTGAATTTCAGGCTACATAAACATAACTTCTTTGAAGAAGGAAGGAAAAAGATACGAAGTTATGAGATTGTCCCTAAGCACTTTCTCCGAGAACTCTAAACTACTTTTATTTCACTCTGGTCATGTACTACGGTAAACGCTTTTGGAGATCAGCTACAACTGTGATCTAAAACCGGTTGATAAAAGTTGAAAAAGACCTATTTTTTCTGTCATTCGGACTAAAAATGAAACCCCTTGCTTAAATTAATTGTCTTACTCCCCCTTCCTCTCTTCCAACAATTTTTTGAGTAATACCAGGGCCTGGTTCCTCGAAAGTTGGTTAAGTTTAACCCAGGATTAAGCCTAGTTTTAAGCAAGGTTTTCTTGTCTAAGGACATGCAACTCGAGCTAAAAAAAAATACTGTTGCATGAGCCTTTACCCCGAGATACAGTAATGATAACACAAAAGGTTACTCTACAACACGTAGGAAGGTAAATTACAAAAATGGAACAAAATTTTAATCCTGGCTTAGCGCTAATCGACCTTTCAGGAACCGGACACAGAGCCAGGTTGTTCAAAGCTGAGTTAAGATAACCTAGGGTTAGTGCGAAATATGAATCCAGATATGAAAGCTTAAAAAGTAAATTCAGTTTAATTCTTTTTTTGTCAACAAGTTGATATTTGGATGGTCTTAAAACAACAGAGCAAATTATCTGAGAAAATGTTGAAAAAAAAAAAAGAAACTCGGGTTAAATTTAACCCTGGGTTTAGTGCTAATCGCCTTTGAACAACTGGGCCCAGAATTATATACACTGGTTTAAAGGCCAACCACTATTGAATAGGGGAGGGGTTGGGGTAATTTTATTAGATGTTTAGAGGAGATGGTAATGTAGCGCGTAATTCAAAAAAATTAATAGAAGGAACCATCTAAAGAGTTTTGTCCATCAGGTTGTACATGTACGTGTAGCTTTAGCCTGGGACCAGGCTCCATAGTGGAGGAAAAGGCAAAAAACAGGGCAAAACAGCCAAAAAAAGAAAAAGACAACAACAACTACAACTACAACAAAAAAAAACATGGACTGGGGTGTGGGAAAGGTCATTTCCACCACTTCATTTGCTGATTTTTTTTTTTTTCCGCCTTTTCCCTTTTGGGGCCGGAGCCTGGGCCCACACAAATAAAGCTTTAAAGAGAACATGGTGCTGTAACCACTTGTATCAACGAGAGATTGAAGAGATTAAATTGCAAAAGTTACCTCTGATGCAGCTGTTCCATATACAGGGTACTCATGTTCAAATTCTGTTCCAGAACCTTGATCTTGTTACTAAGACGAACAAATATGGATTCCTTCTGCCCTCCTGACCCGACCCCTGACGATAGTCCAGCTGAAGAAGAAACAGCGGCTTGTTGAGCTTTGCTGAGGATTGAAGTATCAAGAGTAGCTTCTGCTGACGATGCTGCAGTTGAAAACTCATGGCTAGGCAAGCTTGTGTCTCCAATAACAGGAGGAGCTGGTAATGGAAGAACAGGGTCTGAAGTGTCAGTAATGTCAATACTAGGAGGAATGGTAGGCTGAATAACTTGATCCACATTAATTTTCAGATTCCAACATTTTGGATGTCGATTTGGTGCTTTTTCAATAACCGGCTCCTGGTTGTCCAAATCTGGTTTCAATCCTTCACCTTCTGTTGTAACTGGTTCTAAATTTATCCTTGAAAATCAGTTGCTTTGGTTGATTCTGACGCTTCACTGGCACTATGTATAGGCTCTTTTTCTAAATGTACCTCTTCAGGTAATTGAGCAGTACCCCTCTCGTCCATCTTTGTCAGCGAGTTTTGTCTCCAAGACGTCAATATCTGGAGAAGATTCTGACATAATGTGAATTGAATTTGACCTTTGCATTCTGTAACAGTTACATTGTCTTCTACTTTCTCTTCATCTTTGGAAACTTATATCCTTCACATTCAAAGGCAATGGCTGTTGAGAAGTGCCTTTTGTCACAGAGTGTGCCTGTTCACTTCCTAACACAGTTGACGGTCTGTCAGGAATGCTTTGTACAAGTTGTAAATTTAACTCCTGCTGATCGTGTAACTTGGATTCACCTTGTGGAACATCAACAAAAGAATCCTTAATTAGTGGCACTTGGGAACTTTTAAGTACCGCAGACGAAGAAGCCGGCAGAGTGGCATTTAAGGGTAAGGACGTAACAACTGACACTTCTGGTAATGAAGGGGTTTTGTCATCAGTTTCCCTCTTCTTCTCATTCTCTGAGACGAAAATGTTTAGTGACTCGCTAGGCTGCAAAACTCCAGGCAAAGGGTCAACATATTCTGAGACTCCCGATGCGCCTGAGCTGGTAACTTCATTTGATATTTTCAGAACGCTGGAGGACATTTCAGGAATGATAACAGAGAATTCTTGGTCTACGATATCTAATTCAGCACTCTTCTCTTCTGAGTTGTCAGCATTAGATGGCTCTCCAGCCTGTTCTGCAGGAACGTTCTCTTGGTCTTGACTTTCTTTCTTTTCATAAGATTCACCTTTATCTTTTTCATGAGCTACAATTAAATTTCGCTTGTAATCACCACTCGTGGCTAAATTCATTGATACTGTAAAGTTTTCATTCTTTGAAAACAGTATTCGTCTCACAAAACACCCCAGACTGTAGTGCCCCAATACCTGAGCAAACAACTGGCATGCTGACGGAGCAGGGCTACATGTACGAGTCTCTCCCTCGTTATCTGCTTTGCTGCAAGGTGGACTATCTTCATGGCTTATATTACCAGACACACATTTTCCTTGTGAAGCATTTCTATCACGACTGTGACCTTGCTTTACTATACAGGCATTGTCACCACTCATTTGTGAATTTTCGTTGAGCTCTTCATGACCAACAAGAGTGACAATTTTTCCCAGGCTTTCACCTTGGGATTCCTTCTCAGAAGCAGTCATTTTATTGTCTTGGGCGCCGAGTTTACTATCGTCTCCTTCCTTATCTTGCTTGTTATCATGCCCATTTCCAGTGAATTTCTTGACCAGATTAAAAACCGTATCAGCTGCTCTTTGCAACAGATTTTGCTCCTTGGGTTGATCTTCAACCTTCGCACTAGGATCAGGAGGTAACACTGTCACATCACTGTCACTGTCGCTGTTATCGTTCTCTTCCTGTCCATCTGTTTCATGGTCTTCCAGCTCTTCCATCATGCTGTTGCCGTGCACACGCAGAAGGATCAGTGGGCAGTAATGTTCTGAGCCAAAGCGACTCAACATCTCAACCTAATTGAATGAAGGACAGCACATAAGGTACTTACAGAGTTTATGTCACACTATTTGCTACAATGTATCTGTTTAATTCAGCTAAAAATTGTCTTCGCATCGACTGAATTCCAAAAAAAAGAAAGAAATTTCTACCTACAAGGTACTTAAAATAAGGGATTCGTTAATAAGACAATTATAGGTGTCATATGTGCAATGTCTTGTTCTTTTAAAGCCTTAGACGAAACAAGCATGATAATTGTGTTGTACACTAAATATGTCGCTCATTAAGCCACAAGAAGGCGAAAAGGCATGATATATGCGTAATATATCTCGTTCTTTAAGCCTCGATGAGACAAAACAAGTGCGATGAATGTGTAATAGGATGTTAGAAAGTTGCTGAACATAATAACCTTCTGGCCACAGCTGTTCAAAACATGGATTATGATCTAAGATCTTTGCACCACAGTCTACTAAGGCATAATTGCTTTGTTTTCGTTCCTTTAATTTCTTGGGTTTGGGTGCAGCTCCGCTTGAGTTCTCAGCACTCTGCTGTTTACTTTTCTCTTCTTCCTCCTGTAAAACTCTTCTTTTAAATTCATCAAATGAAGGCATCTCTTCTTCCTTCAGTTTGGTTTCCTCTTCTGCTGCTTGGTTTAAAGCTGCCGTTATGCTATATAATATAAGGTAAATAGAGGAAACTAATGGTGTATTATTTTCATTCTTTAAATTTACCCTTTCATCTGTTTTTCACCTTGCGGTATTATTTTTTTTAATTCATTGCACTGTAAAGTTTACTTACACGGAGTCTAAAACTGAAGAGAACACCTCTGGCTCTTTTGTTGCTACCACTCCCTCAGAGAAAGTGCCAGCTCTAACATTTTGACTTCCCTGGGACGACTGAATCTGGCTTGGATTACTGGGAGGTATAAGGATTACTGATGAAACCATGTATTCCCTTCGTTGTGAGTACGAGTCACTGCTACTTGCGTGGTTTACGACAGTAATGGACAAATCAGCATCATAGCTTGGGGTGGCTGGAGCCACTGTTGGTGTAACAAGTTCTTCCAGTTCTGATGTGGACAAGAAGACACTTGAGGAGGCTTCTCGTGATGTGGTCAATGATAAAGATAAAGGTAATTCTTGAGATTCTTTCTGTAACAAACGAAAGAGTGAAATAAATTTTGAAGAGTTCTTAATTACGCCACTTAGGCAAAGTCACTCTACCAAGATCCCCTTCCTCCCTGTGGAGGAGGAGAGAAACTCTAACCAATAAATTTCTACAGGACAAGAGAGTTGTGAATCACAACACTTATCTATCTGAAGTTCATTTCCCTACAACAGGTCTTAAGCGCGGAATGAAATACTCAGCTGCATGTACTTTAATAGACAATGTCACTTTTGAATTTTAAGGCGGCTACATTTCTGTAGCCAGTAGATGGTAATGTAGCAGCCAGTTGAACATGTCAGGGCAATTTATCATGTTAATGAGTTAATTTACTAAAACGTGTTAATTGATAAGTCAAGCTTTTATTAATCAATTGGTTGTACGAGCCTTCATTGACAACAGCATTGGTTGTCTTCAATCTTCTAGGCTGTGCAGTTTTAAAGAGTCTGTGGCTGTGCTTTGGAGAGGAGGGTATTTAAAACTACTATATTTACAGTATACAATTTACGTGTACTTTATCAACAAAGCACATACATTATAAAACCAGACCCAGCAACTGATTGCAAGGTGTTTCAAGAGCTGAAAGGTCAAGTAAAACAGGCAACATTTTTGTTCAAGTTGTCACAATCCATTAGAAGTTAAAAAGTATTTTTGCCCATATTACCAGCTGAACAAGCAACATGTTGCACAAAAAATTTCAGTGCAACACCCAAGAGTGAAGACACTGTATTTGTTCATACAAATAACTCATTTGAGGCCCAAAAATATGAGTTATAAGTCACTCCTTGTAACCAAAATTATCTCTCATTTCAAGTCCCAGTGTGCAAAGAAATTTGTGTCCAATAGCCTGTGGCTAGGGGATTGTGCTATTGGGCTAGTGAATTCTGTTCTTAACTAATTGCCCGCTGGGCAGGTTAAGTTTTTTGGCGAGTCCAAATTACAGATATACAATCCTGCTCATCAAATATTTTTTTTCAGGGCAGTTAAAGAGACTCTTAGGCTAGTACATGCTAGATACAGCTTGCCCAAATGGCAAACTGTCAAAATGACGTTCTTTACTCCCTGAGTCCCTTTACAAATTGGTGGAAAATCCCTCATCATCCAAAAATGAATCAAATCCCCCATAAAAAACTTTGCAGGGTTATTGTTTCCCATCCTCTAGTATTAAACTTAATACAACGGTGGCTATACACTGCAAGACTCACTTTTTGAAAGGCCAACATGTGTGAAAAAGACTTGACTTATCACAACATACATATATACAATGTAGGATTTTCTCAATGAGCCGCAACTTACATGTACAACACTAAGAGTTTTAACATACATGCAAGCGCAAATAATTTTTTTTTCTGTGATCTGAATTTTCTTAACGGTTATTAAATTTTGTGTGCTTTAATATTTATTCATGAGAAATTTTATTTGCATCTTTAATTTCAGGATTTGCTTTAGAATTGCAAAAAACAAAATTGGCAAAATCTAAGATCAGTGAAATTTAGAACCAATAAGGTATATACATGTATTTAATACTTCTGCCCCAGTATCTGGGTACAAGAGGAACAAGATGTTGTCTTTTGGGGAAGCAGCTCTCAATGATTTAGTTGGAACTTGGTTCAACTTGCCTGGATCTATGCCTGTCAGGCAAGTTTGCTTTAGAAGTTACTTGCCAAGCAACAAAATCTAGTCATCCTGGAATACCAGACAGGACTTTTCGAGCCCTGAAACAGTGACCTTTTTCTTTGTTTGTCTACAAATCTACATGACCAAAAATAGATGATGTCTTGCAGTTTGTCTTAAGCAACAGATCTGAAGTTCCAAGTGTCAACCACTTGGCTAGCAAAACTCCACTGCAGTACAGTACTTGAGAGCAGAAAATTGTAAATTAACAGAAAGTTTTTGAGAATGAACTACAGTAATCATGGAAACTACTGAAGGTGGTAATATTTGAACAGAAATTTGAGGTTAATTAACATGTATAACAAAATTCATTACAAGTCTCAAAAACAACAAAAACAACTATAAAAGATAGACAGAGCTCTGAAGAGTACTCGAATCAAGTTAAGATGAACTGAAGTAAACACAGCAGGAAGCTGCTACTAACTATTACATGAACATGTAAACAAGTTAGCTAGTGCTAGGCACATTTTAAAACATAATTTATGAATTACAAATGCCAGAAAAAGAAACAGAGATTTTTACTACAAAAAATATAACCAACAGTTACTGATAAACATCATTTCAACAAACATCATTTCAACAAGGTACATGTCCAATGAATACTTGTACCTCGCTGAGCTTGCTGAGCCTGGGTGTCATGGTGACCGGACACGACTTCTGAGCTCCGCAACAAAAATGGTTTCCTCCTCAGAACTGCTCACTGTCGACAACATTCGAAAGATCTGGAAGACAGAACTCCTTCCCAACATCAAGAAAGAAATCAGAAACGAACTGAAGACTGAAAATGAAAAGGTAAACTGCCTGATAACTAATCTGTCAAAGCGTCTCGACTTGATTGAATCGTCACAGCAATTGATCAGCGATAAATACGATTCCGTTTTAAAGTCAATGCAGTGGAACAAGAAACAGATAAACGATCTTAACAACTGATGCAAAGCCCAAGACAACAAAATCAACCATCTTAATGGCTCACTCTACGATGCTGAAGCAGCCATAGACTCCATCCAAGCAGGAAATTTCCATAGCCCACCGATTGCCCTATACTATAAGGGTAAGAAGGACAGATTTATTGTCAAATTCGTCCTTAGAGAAAAGCGTGACGAATTCTACAAGTCACGCAAGCACCTCGGCGGGAAAAAAGCGAGCGTGCTTCCATCCGTGGCTTGTGAGATGGGGAAAAGCATCCACCAAGACTCTGCTATGTACATTAATGAATCCCTAACCCAGTATCGCAGTGAACTCTTTGGAAGGGTAAACAAATTCAAGAAGGAAAACAAGTACAAATTCCTATGGACAAATAATGGTAAGATCTATCTACATTATTTTACATTTACAACATTTGAAGAATTCAAAGACTTCATTGCTCCATCACAATGAAACTTTAATATCTGGTTAATACTCCTTGTAGTAACTTAATGTTATTTGATAATGGCTTCTTCAAATGTTTGGATACCCCCATTTAATGATTTAGATGAAAGAGAATTTAGATTTGTACTCGGTTCTGGTAATGTCAGTGACTTCATCAACTCTGGTGTTGATTTGTACACAATCCTTCCAAATCCTGACAAGTTCGATGAATCTGACCCAGATTTAATGTTGTCAACCCCTAGCTCTGGGTACTATTCCATAACCTTTTAGCTGATGTAGATAACGATTCCATTTTTCTCTTTCATTGTAATATTAGAAGTCTAGCAAAAAACTTTGAGCTCTTACACGACCTTTTATGTTGCTTTGATAATGTACCTGATGTAATTGCTTTGACTGAAACTAGAATTAATTGTAACTCATTGATCAGCAAACATAGATCTTCCTAACTACAAATTTTACAGTACTGATTCTAAAACAATGGGTGGTGGTGTTGGTATTTACATCTTATCCTCCCTAAATGCAATTCATAGGTCAGATTTAAGCTTTAAATCTGTTGAGGCAGAATCCTGCGGGATTGAAATCTTACAGGAACACAAACCTAGCATAATTGCGGGATGTATATACAGGCACCCCTCGTCTAATCTTGATAATTTTATATCTCAACTAGAAAACCTCGTCAGTCCCTTACACCAATCCAAGCCTCAGGTTTTTATCCTAGGGGACATGAATATTGACTGTC